TGAATAAAAGAGAATTACTGATAGAGCTTATAAAAGATAGTTGAGTAGCTATTATCTTTTCTAAAATCTTTTCTAGACAGTTCAATAGAGATATTACTTTATATAACTTAGAAATTGAAGTTTTTCTATTAGGTTTTATAAGAATCACTTCAGTGGCTTGTCTCCAGCATTCAGAATGATATTCATTTTTCAAGAGATTGAAAAAGAGCTTAAAATATTCATTCTTTAAGTAGATGTATGTATTTTGAATAATTAAGTGATTAATTGAATCAGGCCCTGCAGCAGTTTTAACTGAACTTGAGAAGATAGCTGACTCTAATTCATCTTGTGTAAGATCAGGTCATTCCCAGTCATTTTCATCAATATAGTTAAGAAGTGATATATTCTCTTTCTCTGAATCTGAATCTGATAAGTTTTGAAAGAGAGTTCTTATAAAAGCTTGACATTTTTTCTCAAAAGAGTTTGCTGTATATGATTCATTCTGAAACTTATATTCTAAGATTAGAAGTTTTGCTACACTTCTTATTTTAGTATAGTTAAAAGCTTTAAAAACTTTCTTTTCTTATGCTTCTTCAAGAAATTTATTTCAGTAGTCTGTTTTAGCTCTTTTAATATCTGAAAAATATTCATTTCTGACAGCTTTGAACTCTTTATCAGAAATTATATCATTCTTTCAATCTCTTCTAGCAGTAGTTAATTGTTTTCTTTTAGATGTGATATTCTTATTTTATCAAGATTTTGAATACTCAGAAGACTTTCTCTTTGAAATATTGTCTTTAACACTTGCTAGAATAATAGATGTAATGAGCTTCACTCTATTCTTGAGCATTTTATTTGAGATATCTTGATCAGAATTTCAATATAGCTTACTCTGTCTTTCAGATTTTAACAGTTTTATGCTTTCTTCAACTGCCTTTCAGTCAGCTTTTTCAAAGTGAAACTGATTAGAGAGAAGAGGATTTTCACTTATTTATTTCTCACTCAGTTCAATATCAAATTGAATAATCTCATGATCTGATTCTGATGTCTCATTTGAATTAATAAATCAGTTTACAAGTCTTTTTTTCATTAGATTTTATAATATAAAGATTGAATCTATAATAGATTTCTGTTTCATGTCTTTTCTAAAGAATGTTTGTTGATCAGACTTGTTAACTAAATCTATTGAATGCTCAAAGATTCATTCAATCAGATTATCAGCTCTTACTACTCTTTTGCATTCTGAATTTTATTAGAGATGATGTGTATTGAAATCTCCTGTAATTATAGAGTTTCTTGATAAAGTTATGTTCAGAAATTCTCTATTAATTGTTCAGATGTTATTATTTTTCTTCAATGACTTTTCATTATAGATATTGATGAGCTGTATAGTATCAAACTTATTCTCTTGATCTATAATATTATTCACTAGAATATCAGGGTCAGACATGATATCAAATCTTAGATTAAATTAATATCTTGATCTCTTTCTTTCATAGCTCACTACTCTTGACTTTATCTCAGACTTTTGAAATAGAAAGCAGTAGTAGCTTGAATAAGAAATAATATATTTTTACTCAGTATCAAAATTCGGCTCCTGAAGCAGTATAAAATCAACTTTTTATTCAAATGTAATTTAAAGACAAGAATAAATACAATTTGAGTTTCTATTCACATTATTTTGAATAAATGTGATTTTTAAAGAGTTTTTAAACTTTTTTTGTTGTTTTTGTTGTATATTCATACTATAAGAGAGTAGAGTAGAATCTAATCACTATTATCAGATAGTAGATTATAACTATTCTGAAAAGTAGAAATCTCAACTGCTTATATTATATCTAGTTTATTATCAGAGTCATTTCTCAATTCTCTAATCTTAACAGAAGTTTGAAGATTTAGATAGTTGAGAGTTTCTTCTTTTTGAGCTTGTAGTTGTGAGTGTACTGGCTTGACTATTCTCTTCAGTTCTAGATTTGCTTTGAGCTTCATCTTTTCTTCAGTTCTTTTGAGTTCTTGGAGTAAATATACATTCTTTTGAGCTAGATGCATGTTTTTCTTTGCAATTAGAGCATTTAAGTATAGTATATTGATATATTTCATCTCTTTTTAAGCATGTTTCATATTTGTGCTCACTAGTTTTGTAATCTCTGATATAGAATGCACATTTTGAGTCTCTAAAACAGAAGATTGTAAAGTGTTCATATCTTTGACAGTTTGAACACTGTGTTTGAGCTTTGAGATTCATTCTTGAGTCTTTGTATTTATGAACTCTCATTTTTAAATCTGCTACTCTTACTTCAGAGATCTTTGACTGTTTAAGTATCTTTATATATACTAGAATAGAGACATTTCTTCTGCTTTATCTGAACTCAATTGAATTTAGTCACACAGACTCTTTTCTCAGTTTAATAGAGTTGTATTCTTCTAATTTATTTTTGAAAAGTAGCATTTCTTCTTCACAGTCAAAAATTTCAACTGAAATATTATAAAGAATGAATTTTTCTCACTTTTCATCTCTCTCAGATAGAATTATTATGTTTAACAAAGATTCTACTACTGATTTTCAGAGATTCTCATTCTGAATAAGAAATTTCACACTGAATTCAGACATTGTAGTCAGAATGATGAAGTTTTCAAAGAAGAATGACTCAATTAAAGCTATAACTGATTTTTGAACTTTAATATCAGTCATTAACTGAGAAAAGAACTGCTGATTAATTTCATTTCTGATTCTGAAAATGAGATTTAAGTTTAGCTTGTTTCTTTGTAAGATATTCTGATTTAAAACTTTAAGAATAAGTCTTCTATTTCTGAAGATTTGAAAGTTTTTCTTCTTTTACATTTTTTTCTTCACTTTTCTATGAATAGAAGTATGAGTATTATTCTTTTCAGTCTTCTCAGGATTTTGAGCAGATTTTGAGATAGCAGATTTAGAGATAGCAGATTCAGCTGCTTGAGTATATGTTTTATTCTGATTCAAAGAAGAAGAAGAAGTAGAAAAAGAGAAAGAAGAGTAAGATGAGAAGTCAGTGATTGTACTAGAAAGTTTCAATATTTTTTGAACTGTGTTTGAAATTCTAAGTTTGAACTTGATCATCTTCTGTAGTTATTTAGTCTGAGTATGAAGAATTAACAGAACTTCTTCATTCATCTCACTCAGACACTGCTTTTCAAGAACCTTACTTACTTTTTCAAGTTTCTATATTTCAAGAACTTATTATTTCTCTATTTCTTCTTTCTTTCTTCTGTTCAGAATTTCAATCTCAGAAATAGTATTTGAGAAAGCATCTTTTTCTATATCAACTGAGTGTATTTTTGCACTTATTATTCTCACTCAATGAAAAGTCAATCAGACTGTTTCAATTGAGATATGTATTAAACTCTTTTGAAAAGTTGATCAGACTGTTTCAAAAGAAGAATAAAAGACTTTTATGTATAAAACATCTGATTTTTTTCACACTAGTTCAGTAACTAGATTAGATTTTTGATGAGAATCTAACAAACTAGAATTGATTTTTGAGATAAATTAATAAAATCTTTACAATCTCTTTCTTGAGATACAGTGAGAAAAAGTATGATATCAATTGATAATAAATCAGATAATATGACAGTTTTTAAGGGAAAAACTGATACAAAATAAATCGATTTTTTACAGAGAAATTGATTAAAACTATTCAATTTTATTCTAAATCATTCAATTCTTCTCACACAACAAGTGTGCAACTCAAATCAGTTAATAGAGAGTGTAAAAAAGAATTAAGTATTAATAAAAGCTCTTCAGTCACTGAAAAAGTAATTCTTATTTAAAAGAATATGAAATTATAATAGAAAATAGCTGTGGCGGGCTGCGCCCGATCAATCATATAGACTATTCTATTACACTCCATAGATTCTTTCATTCCCGATCGCCGATCCGCGGCCGCTACGAACGCGCGCATATTCTTCCGCCCCGAAGCTCCACCGCGTATGTCATCACATACGCGTATAAATATCCACCTCAATCACTGATTCTCACACTTTCTCTTTCTTTCCTTCTTTAACATTTTTATCTTTGTTACATAAGACCTATAATATTATACTGATCTATTTAGTGTAGGCCTCTTATACTATAAAAACATTCATCATCTTCTTATTAGAAAATGATTATTCATACATCATCTTCTTATCAGAAACAATTATTTATCAAGAGATATTCAAACACATAACAATATATAAGAAATAGAGAAACAGTCAAACAGTTAAGCAGATACTGAGTTCTCAGATAGAAGCTTGCTTATCAGTTGTTCTGACCTCATAACAAGATCTTACAAAGAGAATAAGATCTTATAAGAGAATGTCAGTGAAAGATCTGAGAGTTCTGACACTCAGATATATGAGAATATGATTACACTTCTTCAGATTTTACAGATATCATACATCTGATAATTGATATAATCATGTCTAATAATAATATGAAACTCTCAAACACAAGTATAGACACAATGCCACAGTGACTCTGAGCAATGTTGAAATTATAACAATAATAAATAGCTGATATGCATGCAACTCAATAACTTCAATACAAAGAGATTTAACAATTAACTCATGCAATTTCAACATCTACAGAATCAAATATAAAAGCACTGAAAGAATGCTTAAATGCTTCTACATATTTCAATGCTTTCAATCTCACTCTCTACTCATTATAAAGAATGGAAATGCTTGTGAAACTGAGTGTAGATGAAGATTTCATCAGTTCATTAATTAATCAAGATTGATATATCAATGAATAATTAAAGAATTGTGTGAAACAGAAGTTTCATTCAAGAATAAAAGCATGTGAATCAGTGTTATGAATGTCTGATAATATTATCAAATATCTTGATATTCTGTTCTGAGACACTGCCATGCAACAGAAAGTATTAAATTGATTACAGAGTATCTGACAGAGAAACACTTCTCTTACAACATTCATTCCTGACTTCAACATCAAGATTCTAGAAGCAGATGATTAATCTTGGGAGAATTGAATAAAGATTAGCATGCTTAAGAAGATATTAACTTTTGAACTCTTACAGGCTCTTATAAGTGCAGACAAAGACCAGACTCATGAAGACTTCTACACACAGCTTCAGACAATGAATGACTGGCTTATCAAGCTCAGGAATATACAGAACAGTGACAGAAGACATTACATCTCAGTGACTTATGCACTGGCACTGAGAAATAACAATGATGCAGATGCCATGAATTGAGTAGACTTGAATGTCTATACATAAGCAAGAGTCTCTGCTATCTGAACAGGCTTTCAAGTCTCTGAGATCACTTCTGAAGAAGTCACTGATCAATGTCAATATGAAGTGTGTATCAACTGTAACTGATTAAAACACATTGCTTTCAACTGCTGATCAATCTATGTGTCTTCATACTTGAGAGAAAGATCAGCATCTTCTCATTCAAAGAATGAATCAGTGCCTGTTTATATCAACCACATTACATTAGAGAAAGATTCAGAAGATAACTATGAAAATACTCTGATGAAACAGGAAAAAGATTAGCTTCTGTTCAAATTCATAAACAGAAGCTTGAAGAGATCAGATGATAATAATTTGAAGAGAAGATGACAATGAATGTAATTCTTGTATCTACTGTGATTGATAACATGTATAATATGAAAGTCATGATAGACAGCAGTCTATGTCACTATGCAATGATAAAATCTTCAGTCATAAGATATTATAACCTTCAGTGTATCTCTTTATCAAAACCTTGACTTCTCACAGAATTTGATGATTCAAAAGACATTTATACCTGTTACATGATAAAGCTGATCATAGATATGAGAGAACATCAATGTGAAGATGTCTATGCATATAAAGTTGATAATTCTGATTATAATTCTATATTAGAACTTGTCTGACTATCTGAACAAGGCATCTTATTGAACACTTAAAACAGAAGCTTGATATTCTCTAACAATGATAGAATTCATAAAGATGATATTTATAAGACTATTAATCTAACACAGATCTCTGTTAACATCTATAAAATACTCAGAAAAAGAAGTTGCTGAAAGAATCACTCATAGCAGAATCATGTATCAATCTATTTCATCAGTCTGATCAATATCAAAAAGACTCTAGAAAAGTTATACTGTGTTATAATAACAGATTCTTATACAAAACTCTCTCATTAATATCATAAATATCTAGATATCTTTCAACAAGATAATATTATAAATATACCTCTCTTACAAGGTTCTGAAGTGAATCACAGTATCAAGTTACAGAAAAAGAATGATAAGAATCTCAAACTGTTATAAGACCCTCTTTATAACATGTCTTAAGATGAACTTCTTCTTCTTCAAAAGATACTCAATGATTTGTTAAATAAAGAATTTATATATATTAGCAACTCTTTCATCACAGCCTCTATTCTCTTTGCAAAGAAATCAGATGAAGAACTTTAATTCTGTGTGAACTATCAAGATCTGAACAGATTGATAAACAAAGATCAATATTTCTTATCTCTCATTCATAAAACTCTAGCATGAATCAGATAAGCTCAATGATTTATAAAACTAGATGTCATTACTGTGTTTCATAAGATTTATATCACTGAAGAAGATAAATGACTTATAGCATTCTGAACATATTATAATCTCTTTGAATGAATAGTCACACTCTTTGAACTGACTAATACTCTCAGTATATTTCAGAAGTATATCAACTGAGCACTTCAAGATTTTCTTGATAAGTTTGTATCTACTTATCTAGATGACATTCTCATCTTCACTGATGAATTCAGAAAAGAATATCAAGAGTATGTGTGAAAGATATTACAACAGCTACAAGAAGCAGAACTACTGATAGATATTAATAAGTGTGATTTTAAAGTCAAGAGTATCAAGTATCTGAGTTTTATTATAGAAGCTGATAAGAGAATTCAAATGAATTCTGAGAAAGTCTTCATCATTCTTGAATAAAAATCTTCATATACTGTGAAAGATGTATAAAACTTCATCAGATTTACTAACTTCTATCAGCAATTTATATGAAACTTCTCAGATATTATAAGATTACTTACAGATCTTACTAAGAAAGACTCAGTATTTCAATAATCAGTGAATACTGAAGCTGCATTTACACAGATAAAGAAGATGTTCATTAATACTTCTCTACTGATAATATTTGATTCTGATTATAAAATAGTTATTGAAGCTGATTTCTCTGACTATATAATAGAAGAAGCAATATTATAATATAATAATGAAGATATTCTATAATCATGTATCTTTATATCTAAGAAACTGAGTTCTGCTGAATGCAATTATGAAATCTATAATAAGAAACTTCTTACAATTATACACTGTTTAGAAGAATGAGACTCTGAACTTCAAAGTATCTTCAAATTTAAAATAGTCATAGATTATAAGAATCTCAAATACTTCATAACTACTTATAAACTTATCAAATAACAGATACAATGATCTGAGTTTCTAAGCTGCTTTCATTTTATAATACACTACTGCTCTGACAGTCAGAACTTGATAACAGATACTCTCTTATAATAAGAGTAAGATATATCATCTGATATAACAGATACTTACTGAATGAACTAAGAGCACTGGCTCTTGAATCTGAAGATATTAGTTAATTAAGATGAAACAGCTCACAGCATTATATATACTTCTTTAATTAGAACTGATATTAATATCTTCACTTCTTCTATACTGAATAAACTGTGATATACAGCAGCTCAGACTGATGAACTTCTTCAGACTCTCACTGAAGTAGTATATTAAGAAGCACTCTGATTCTCTTCAGAACTATATATAAGAACTGATATCTCAGAATACTCAATCAATAATAATAACATTCTACAATTTTATAAATAACACTGAGTCTCTTACTCTCAATTCTTATGCACTTGAATAATACAAGAGATACATGATTTGCATATAACTGATTATCTGAGTTATAAAGAACTGTATAGAATAATCTTCTGAGAATTCTACTAATCTGAGATATTAAACAGTATCAGATACTTCATTTAAAACTGTAATCACTGTTCTTCTATTATCTTATGAAAGAACTGTAGAAAAGATCTACTGAAATCACTTAATATCTCTAATAGAATCTGATAAGATATAGCAATTGACTTCACTATTAATCTATCTAAGAGTAAGAGTTGTAGAAACATTCTAATCATCATTGACTGACTAAGTAAGAGTGTAATATTGAAATCTTATAATAAGATGAATATCAGATAAGTCACTGAAGTCTTCTTACAGAGTTCATTCTATCAGATATATGAGTTACTGAGATCAATAGTATCAGATCAGAGTCATTAATTCATAAGTACTCTCTGAATAAGAATCTGTCAAGTTCTCAAGATTACACACTGTCTGTCAACTGTCTATCACTCTGAGACTGATAATATGTCAGAATGAATAATTCAGACTGTAAAGAATTATCTTTATAAGTTCTGCAATTACTTATAAGATAATTAATATAATCTTCTTCTATATACAGAGGTCACTATCAATGATTGAGATGTTATTTTAATAGATATAAGTTCATTCTTTCTTATACATAGATATCATATGAAAGTGTTGAATCTTCTAGAGATCACACAGTTCATATCAAACTCTCACAGTTTAATTCAGATCACTGATAATATAGTAACAAAGCTCTGAGATATCTGTGACTGAGTAGAGATCTTCATCATAACTGTGAAATAAGACTAAGAAGATCAAATCAATATCTGATAAGATCTCACAGAGCAGTATAAGATAGAAGACCTTGTATGATTGAATCTCAGAAATATACAAATCACATATTTATCTTATACACTAGACTACTGTCACATCAGATATAAAGTGATAGAAGTTCTAGATAGTTATAACTACTGTCTTAACACATCATTAGAGATTTATAATATATTTTATACAAGCTTACTCTGCTGCACTGTCACTGATCTGTTCTCTTCTCAGCTGACTTCTGACTGACAGTTATCAGACATTATAGAAGAAGATAATGAGCTTGAGTGAGATATTAAAGATATTCTCAATGAGAGATTCTGCAGCTGCAGTCAATAATATCTTGTGAAATGAGTCAGCTATGATCAACTGACCTGGACTCTGAGTTCTATGTTATCTGAAACAGCAGCTCTTGACTGATGAGAACTGCTTCTGAAAAGAAGGGGCTAATGTGATGAGCTGCGCCTGATCAATCATATAGACTATTTCATTACACTTCATAGATTCTTCCATTCCCGATCACCGATCCGCGGCCGCTATGAACGCGCGCATATTCTTCCGCCCTGAAGCTCCACCGCGTATGCCACCACATACACATATAAATATTCATCTCAATCACTGATTCTTACACTTTCTCTTTCTTTCCTTCTTTAATGTTTTTATCTTTGTTACATAAGACCTATAATATTATACTGATCTATTCGGCGTAGGCCTCTTACAATAGCTCTGTTTTTAATTCTTTATAAGAATATTATATAAAATTCATAGAAAAATATCTTACTTTTTTAAGAGAAGTAAAAAACTATTTCTAAGATCTTTTTTTTTTGTATTAACTACTTTAGAAGAATGAGATAGAAACTGCTAAGATATATACTACTGTATATTCTCTATCAAGACTTTCTCTCTTCAGAGTCTTGATATTATAGAGAATATAAGTCTGTTTCTATATAAAAATATAAATATTGTATGTAAGATGTAGAGAAACTGATTATTTATATCTTAAAATAGAAGACTTTGTCAATGATTATATTAATATAGAGTTAATTCTTAAATTCAATAGAAATCTAGTGCTGCTGTTCTCAATCTCTTGTAGAATCTATTGAATATTGAGATATTAAAACTAGATTTAATATATCTCACTATGCAGAGATTAAAGACTCAGTCAGATCTTAAGATATACTGATTTTATAGTTGTTGTGTCTGCTGATTATGTATTGAATACAGTTGTCAAGATATTCTTTTGTACTTTTCTGTCAGAGATGAGCCAGATCAGAAGAGGCAGTACAAGAGTGAGACTTAATGTAAAGACAGAGAGGATTTTTTACAGAGAATGCACTTCAGATATGTTCATTGATTATGTGCTTAATACTATTACTGAGATATCTTTTTGTATTTTTCTGCCAGACATGGGCCAGATTGAGAAGAGTGATATGTGAGTGGGACTTGATGTTGATGTTTTGAAATGTCAAAGATAGACAGGGTTTTTGTGAAAGT